AGACAGAGAAGGAAGGAGGAGGGGAGGGAGAAAAGGAGGGAGGGGGAGAAGGAGTTCAAAGAAACATTTCTGGATGCTTTTATTAGAACTGTCTTTAACCCATCTGGCTCTGGCTTTCCACCATGCATCATCTAATGCATTTTATTCCTTGCAAACATATTACAAACCCACCAGAGTGGCTGAATTAATAACGGGCACAGGGGGAGGATTCACATGTGAACCTTAAGCATAATCACTACAGTCCCCATTTCCTAACTTTGCACAACTTTAACGTGTAAATAAAAAAAAATCTGCCTGAAAATCTGTTATGAGTGCTGAAGAGCAGGTGGAGAGAATAACTATAGGACGATGTGTGTGTGAGTGTGTGTGTGTGTGTGTGTGTGTGTGTGTGTGTGTATACATATGTATTTATATATCTTTTTGTTTTTTGAGACGGAGTTTCTCTGTGTAGTCCTGGCTGTCCTGGAACTCACTCTGCAGACCAGACTGGCCTCATACTCACAGAGATCTGCCTGTCTCTGCCTCACAAGTGCTGGGATTAAAGATTTGCACCACCACTGCCTGGCCAACAGTATTTTTAAATAAGAGATGAGCATTTATTTATGCTTGAATGATAAAGACAACACGCCAGGAGCCGGACCAGTGGCCTGGTGGTTAAGAACACGCACTACTCTTTCAGAGGACCCAAGTGCCATGTTTAGCACCCATGTCAGGCAGCTCACATCAGCCCGAGACTCCACACCCGGAGCGTCTGATACCCTCTTGGTATCAGATGAATACCCTCACGAAACTGGCACACATGCGCACTCAGACAACATACATCACAAATAAAAACTCTAAAAGTAATAATAATATGCTAGGTCTGGGATACAGTTCAGTAGAGTGTTTGTTACTATGAAATAAACATACTATCTGAAATCTCGGGGCATCTAGGGAGAGCTATGAAGAAAAAACAAGGCCAACCAAACGTCCTTTCAATAGAGACAATTACTGCTGAGAGGGACTGTTTTCTCTTCATTTTTTCTGTCTACCTTCACACATGTGTTTTTACAAACTTATGCTTGTACCATGCCCCATGGTGCATCTGTAACATCTTCTTTTCAAGTTCTTCAGACCTTTCCTGAGTGACCAAATCTCTCTCAAAAGCAAACTTTTTTGTTTTTTTTAATTCTGTTTGGTCAGTGCCGGTGTTGTAAGCAGTGTGTTCTACCAAGAGGCTACCTGCCTAACCCAAGGACTTTATTGCTTCTTTATTTGAGACTAGCTCCCACTCTGCAGCCTCAGCTGGCCTGGAACTCTCAGGGGTATGCCTGCCTTTACCTCCCAAGCGTGGGGATTAAAGGTATACCCCACCACAACCAAGATCCTTAAATCCCTGTGCATTTCCTCTCATCTGGATAACAGCCTTCACTCAGCAAATGAAGTTTGTGCCTGTTCCGCCTGTGCTGGGCACAATACAGAGTTGAGCAAAACCAGAGATGGAACTTAGCATGTCTCTTCAGAGACAAAAGCAATAAGAAGAGATGAACCAAAGTGCAAGTTTTAAAATATAAGGTGATCAATTAGATTCTCTATCTTTGATCATACAGAAAAATGACCAGGGCTTTCATCTTAGGCTTGTAGATACACCAGACTAGAAACTGGTGGATGTCATGGGGTGGAGGCAAACTATGAAAGTGATGATTGTCAAGAACCCTAAACTGTGAGAGACTCAAACCTTGGTTTTGTTTTCCACCTCTGTAGGGTGAAGCCTCGCATCATTGAGAAAACCTCAACTGCCTGTCAAATGCCATACTTTTAATTGACAGTTTGGGTCTGGCACAGCCTCAAGCACCTGTCATCCCAGGCTTCCCGGGACTGGGGTGGTAGAGGCAGGAGGATAGGAGGATCATGAGCTCAAGGCCAGCCTCATCCCCTTTACCAGTGTGAGGCCCACGTGCTACATGAGACCCTGCCTCAAACAAACCAAAACAAAATCCAAAACCACCTTTAGGAGCTTGATAGTAACATAGGAGACCGAGTGTGTGTGTGTGTGTGTGTGTGTGTGTGTGTGTGTGTGTGTGTGTGTGTGTTGTGCTGCAAAGCTGTCCCGCCCAGGGACAGCAATGCTAACAGTGCAGGACTGCCTGTGGCCTCACAGAGGCAGCAAAGGACTGAGAAAGCAGAGAGGGAGGCTCAGCAGGGTGCTTGCTGCTGACATCCCGGAGGACACATTTCAGCTGCAGTCAGCACTGAACTGAGGTCTTTGAGTAGTTTTGAGGCAACGCTGGAGCTGAGACAAGTTAGACACAGGTAGGGGATTCGACGATGTCGGTCTGGGAAACATCTTCAAAAGGTTTGAACGGGTCTGCCTTCGTCAGGCTCCGTGTGGCACCAGCCACAGCGGAAGTCAGCTTATCCGAACCACGTGCACCCTCAGTGTAAAACACGCCCGATTTTACTTACTACATAGAACGAGTATAAAATGTCCCGTTCATATTTTCAGGTGATTACAATGTCCAAAGGATGGATTAAATAAAGCATACAGCTAAGTTAATTTCATTTTCTTTTAACTTTTACAAATGGAGCTGTGAGGAACTTTTAAAATGTGGGTTTTTATTGTATTTCTGTCGGTCAAGAATGGTTCTAAAAATAGGTCAGTTTTTGTAACCTGACTGGGTTTCCTGATTTAAAAATTATTTCTGAGGAGCTGGAGAGATGGCTCAACCATGAGGAGCACTTGTTCTCACAGAAGACCTGGGTTTGATTCTCAGTAGCCATTTAGTGGCTGACAGCCATTTATAACTCCAGTTTGGGGAATCTGATTCCCTCTTCTCACCTCCTACAGGACTGGGCATTCAGGTGGTACACGTATAGAATATAGAGAAAGCACTTGCACACTTAAAATAAAATAAATCTACTTTTTAAAATGATTTCTGAGGGGCTGGAGAGATTACTGGGGCGTTAAACACACAAGCCACTCAGCCTTGAGGACATGCATTTAGGATTCACCACCCACATCAGGTAGCTCATAACTGCCTGTAATCCCAGCGCCAGGGTATCTTAACATCCTCTTCTGGCCTCCAAGGGCGCACAGATAGACATGGGCACACACACGCACACAGACACCCACATGAACACACACAAATAAGAAAAAAAATTACTACAAACAGGGATTTCTGTGGGATATGCTTTCAGTTGGTTTCTTATTTAGACGGGAAATGCATTTTGAGATCATGGCATCGGCTCTGTTCTTTTGGCTATTTAATGCTCAGTCTCTGAGACTTGTAATGCTTTACAAAAAGGTGTGTCTCGGCCTGCCACAGACTCTCTCTTCAGGAGTGTTAGCAAAGGACTGAGTCCTCCATTTCCCTATGGAGGAAATCTATGGAACATGGGCGTGAACAGGCATGATCACAGCTTTTGAAGGAACAAGAATGGTCTAACACATGGTTTTGCCAAGGACCTTGTTCATGTCAGGCAAAATTAACTCTAAAAATGAGGTTGCATTCCACAACGGATGACACTGACCATAATGTTAAGATTGTTCCAAAATAATGAGAGATCATCTTTACTTCCAATAATTTTTTTTTTTAATTGTGAAACATGTCTCATACTTTCTTCTATGCAGGTGTGTCTGTTTGTGTGACTGTATGCCATGGAGACCAGGGGAGAACGCTGGGTTCCCTGGAGCTGGAGTGACAGGTGATGTGAGCCACCCAATATGGGTGCTGGGAATTGAGCTCGTGCCCTGGAGACGGGCAAGGTGGCCCTTTACCACCCAGCCATCTCTTCAGTCCCTTCACGTTCAGTCTCACCTGAGACTGGGAGACACTGCGGGAAGGAACCATGAGCTCAGACTAACCTGTCCGATACAATCTCCCTCAAGCTCCCTGCAGCCCAGCCCACACACCGGACCACTTCAGCCTTTGGCAGTGAGATTCAAGCATTTGTTATACACAGCCATATTTGATGATCAGTGCCAGAAGGTGAGAGGCCCTGTGGTCAAACTGCCTGACTCCCAGCCACAGCCTAGCCATTCATTCACCAAGCCACTCCAAATGTCCACGAGGCTTAAAAAAACAAAACAAAACAAAACAATGCATGAAAACCAAGTGAAAGAAGGCAGGCCTGGAGTAAATTCCATAGTAACTGCTAGTAACTAGCGAGTTTGTTGCTGTTGTGTTGTTTGTTTCTGAGACAGGGTCTCACCATGTAGACCACCGGGCAAGGGACCTAAGGAACTAACTCATTTCACAAGTTTATCGAGCCAGGGTTTTCTCTGTGTAACAGAGCCCTGGCTCTCCTGGAACTCGAGCTGTAGACCAGGCTAGCCTAGAACTCACTGGGATACACCCGCCTCTGCCTCCTGAGTGCTAGAATTTAAAGGTGCGCACCACCACGACCGGCTCCACAACTGTTCTCCTGTTTGTTTTTGGCTTGGGGTTTTATTTTGCTTTGGCGGTGCTTTTGTTGGTGGTGGTTTTTTTGTTGTTTGTTTGTTTGCATGGTTTGATACACTGTAGCCTAAGCTGGCCTCTAACCACCCATCGCTATTCTGTTTCTGCCTCCTGAGTTCCGGCCTTACAGTTGCCATACCCAGCGCTGCGAGTGTAATAAAACATACCACACCAAAGAAGTGTGCACGCCTGCCTCACCCCCTTGAAGTTATCTCTGTCCGCAGAGTCACCCTATACCGAGACTACGAGCTGTGAATTATTCCTGCCCGGCCCTGGTACCCAGCACCCAGCGCAGCTGATTGGCAGCTCTGCTGGGCACCAGCGGTGGGAGACTGGACTCTGGTTCTCGCCTCGCCACTTACAGGCTAACAGGGGGCGACCCGCTCGAACCCCCTCATCTCTAAAGCCTGATCCCGCGCCAGGGAAGCGATGGTGCCGCGCCTGCTCGCCAGGGGGCAGCAGCGCGCACCCCGTCGGCCGGCGGCGCCGCGCGTCAGAGCGGATGCCCCGCCCCGTGACCGCGACCGTGACCGAGGGCTGCGCGGAGACCGCTGCCCGGCGGGCGCGATGGGGGAGGAGGCGGCGGGGGTGCGGCCCGAGCTGGTGCGCGAGGCGGAGGTCAGCCTGCTGGAGTGCAAGGTGTGCTTCGAGAGGTTCGGCCACCGGCAGCAGCGGCGGCCGCGCAACCTGCCCTGCGGCCACGTGGTCTGCCTGGCCTGCGTGGCCGCCCTCGCTCATCCACGGACGCTGGCCTTCGAGTGTCCCTTCTGCCGGCGGGCCTGCCGGGCCTGCGACACCAGCGATTGCCTGCCGGTGCTGCACCTCCTGGAGCTCCTGGGCTCCACCCTGCACGCGTCCCCGGCTGTCCTCAGCGCGGCCCCCTGTGCGCCCGGGGTTCTCACGTGCCACCACGCCTTTGGCGGGTGGGGGACCCTGGTGAACCCCACGGGTCTTGCGCTGTGCCCCAAGACCGGACGGGTGGTGGTTGTGCATGACGGGAAGAGGCGAGTCAAGATCTTTGACTCTGGAGGAGGAGGTGCACACCAGTTTGGAGAGAAGGGGGACGCCGCGCACGACGTGAAGTACCCCCTGGATGTCGCCGTCACCAACGACTGCCACGTGGTTGTCTCCGACGCCGGAGACCGCTCCCTCAAAGTGTTTGATTTCTTTGGCCAGGTCAAGCTGGTTGTGGGGAAGCAGTTTTCCCTGCCCTGGGGGGTGGAGATCACCCCTCAGAACCAGCTCCTGGTGACTGACGCAGAGGCAGGGTCCCTGCACCTGATGGAAGTGGATTTCCCGGAAGGGGTCCTCCGGAGGACTGAGAGGCTGCAGCCTCAGCTGTGCAATCCCCGTGGGGTGGCCGTGTCTTGGCTCACGGGGGCCATTGCCGTCCTGGAGCACCCCTGGGCCTTGGGGACAGCAGGCTGTGACAGCACAAGGGTGAAGGTGTTCAACCCCGAGATGCAGCTGATTGGCCAGGTGGATAGCTTCGGGCTGAACCTCCTCTTCCCCTCCAAAATCACTGCCTCAGCTGTGGCCTTCGATCACCAGGGAAACGTGATTGTCGCCGACACCTCTGGGCCAGCCGTCATCTGCTTGGGGAAGCCTGAGGAGTTTCCAGCCCTGAAGCCCGTGGTCACTCATGGTCTTTCCCGTCCTGTGGCACTGGCCTTCACCAAGGAGAATTCCCTTCTCGTCTTGGACACTGCGTCCCACTGTATAAAAGTCTTTAAAGCGATGGAGGGGAATGGAGGGTGAGGGGGAGCGCGGGGCCTGGAGTCTTCGGGAGTGAAGCGCACCACGGATGAGTCAGTTATCACTCATCCATCCAGGCAAGGATAATGGTCACTGCCCGGCAGAAGTACCGGATTGAGGCAGTTATTAAAACCTAATAATTAAATGTATCATTCAGTGAATGCCTACTCCCCATGTTAAGAAATTTGCAAATCTTACCTCTTTTGCTCCTTAATGTGCAGTAATAATTTCTATTATTAGTCCCATTTTAGAGATAAGAAAAGAGACCCAAAGAGCTTAATATGATTTCTTCAGTGGTGTATCTACTGGGACAGTATCAAATTGAACTCAATTCCGACTCCAAACCATTTGCTCTTAAATATGATGCCAGATGTCAGGAAAAAAAAACAAAAACAAAACGTGAGCATGTCTTAGGCATGCTCTCCTTACAAGCAGCTAACTGACTTCAGTGCACAAAGAAACAAAAGGAAGGGCTCTCCGGTGGTTTTTAAAAGAAAGGGGATTCTGTGTGTTGTCAGTTGTGAGGTCCCCCGATGGCAGAGTAGATGGATTATTATAAATCCCAAGATTTGAACTAGAAACAAAGTTGAGCAATTTCCTCGTAAAGCAGAAGCTGGCTGTCTCACAGTGTGTGTCAATCACCCCAGCACCTGCAAAGTGGAGACAGGAAGTTCAATGCCACGTACAGCTACCTAGTAAAGTGAGGCTGGGGTAGGCTTCATGAAGTCTCTCTCTCTCTCATTCCCTGAGTGATGGTTTGAGAAAGGTCTGCAAAGCCACTGCGGGCTGGTATCATGGGCAGATGAGACTTTGTGTTAATTAGGCGTCACCCCGGTACATTCATGGCAGAAGTGATCTTGTTCGCTGTGTGGTGAATCTCTGCAGCCTGGAGTACTCTGTGATGGGAATTTCCTCTGTGCAATTTAGAATGTGATCCAAACACTGTATGCTCAATAAAGCACTGCAGATGTGTCTTGGACTGAAGCACAGCCTTGACCAACGTAAGGACACCTTGATGTTGTACTTAAGGAAAGGAACAGGAAGAGGGACTGATCCTCTGTATTTGTTTAAGCAAGTGCAAAAAAACCCAAATATCTTTGAATCTGGGGCCATTGGAATTATACCAAATAACTTAGAGCTCTGAAGCGGCACGAAAACCGTTTCCTGGGGATGCGTTTGAAAGGCGAAGAGTTTGCTTTAGATAATAACCGATGCTGTGTCAACAGAATGCTTCTTTTATTCAGAGAGGCTGTTCGTTGTTGAGACAGGGTCTTGTACATCTTAACGCTGGCCTTGGGCTTGCTCTGTAGCCAAGCAGGGCCTTCAGTTTCTGATCCTCCTGCATCTGTCTCCCAAGTGCTGGATTATAGGCTCCCGTGGCAACGCCCAGGGTCCGGTGGTGCTAGAGGTGGATGGGACCCAGGCTTCACACATGCTGACAAGTGTTCTTCCAGCTGACGTACATCTAACCCTACAAAGGTTTCTTTTGTTTGGCTGGTTTGGTTTGGTTTGGTTTGGTTTGGTTTTTTGAGACAGGGTTTCTCTGTGCAATAGCCCTGGCAATTCTGGATTTATTTGTAGACTAGGCTGGCCTTGAACTCAGAGATCTGCCTGCCTCTGCCTCCTGAGAGCTGGGATCAAAGGCGTGTGCCACCACCACACCACTACAAAGACTTTTAACAGAGATGATGGGTCCACCGAAGACCGCCTCAAACTCATGAGTGAGATATCTTCCAGAAGATATGAAAGCTGACATTAGGAGTCCAAGGTGAGCGCCCAGCTGCTGTGCCAGACTACAAAAGTCATGTTACTTTTTGTTTATGTATTTATTTATTTATTTAGTGTGTGTGGGTGCACGTGCCATCATGTGTGTGGAGGTCAGAGGACAACTTGAGTGAGCCTGTTCTGTCACCGTCTGGATACTGATCGCAGGCCACCACGCCAGTGTCTTCACTCTCTAATCATCTCCGCATTGCTGCTTTCATTTCTTCCATCAGTGCTGTCGGTAGGAGCATTTTGGGCACCCCACAGCATCGCTCCTCCAGCAGGCACTCCAGTGGTTGCTTTCCTCTCCCTTCTCCCGTTTCCTTCAGCCGGGTACCGCACACAGCACACACCTATAACCCTACCACTGACTAGGCTGAGGCCCCCTTGGGCTACGCAGTTAGACCAGTGACTTATTTTGAATATGTAACAGTGAACCTTCTATGGGGAGATGTTCTTCTCCCCATAAATGAACTTCTATGGAGTTCATTTGCAAGGAGGGTAATTATGGATTGATCTTAAATGTTTTCCTTCAGAACTATGACATAATAATAATGTTAGTGTTCACTGACCCAATTAAAAAAATATTTTTAAAAATTTATCAGTCACATCTTTTAAACTTTTTTTTAATTTAAAAAAAATTATTTTTACATCATGTGCATTGGTGTTTTTTCTGTGTGTGTGTCTGTGTGAGGGTGTTGGATCCTTCGGAACTGGAGTTACAGACAGTTGTGAGCTGACATGTGGGTGCGGGGAATTGAACCTGGGTCCCCTAGAAGGGCTGCCGGTGCTCTTGACTGCTGAGCTGTCTCTCCAGCCACATCTTTTACTCACACAGTTCCCAGGGTGGTCTGTACTGAGTTGTTCCCTGCGGTGGGGAAGTCGGGTATGGGTTTGGGTTCTGGAGTTCACTGGCGATGTGCTGACTATAGCCTGGTACTTTGTGGCAGCTTATCTTTCTGTAGCGTGGGTCAGGGTGCCCAGCAGGAACTCTCTAGGGCAGCTCTTCCTGCGAGGCGATGATACGGGGGCACTTTGACTGTTGTTCATCTCCAAGCCTCCTCAGGCTGAGGGACCCATGTCAGCAACCTGTGATGTAGACCTAAATTTTGTCTTCTGTGCTGTGCTGTTTAAAGCAAGCTGAATGCCAGGTGGTGAGAAATGCTGAAGAGTTAGCAGATAATCAAGGAGAAATGGTCCTGGCAGACCGTTCAGGGTGCCAACGCGATGGAGGAGAGCTGAAATGAGAGAAGAGCATGGCGGAGAGTGAAGAATGAAGGCATGTTGTCAAGTGAGACCACAGAAGCAAGTGCAGGGCCCCCAGTCTCACATCGCCCTCCACTCCTTCCCCGCTGGCACCTGAGCTGACTCTGGCCTTACTCTGCCCTCTAGATCTGGCTTCCCCCCATCTTTTGGCTTTGGCATTTCTTAAGGATGGTTCGGATTCTTAACTCATTCTTCTAGCATCTCTGGCATTGGTGCCTAGGTCTCAGACTATCACATGTGGTAGGCCTTTCTCCAGACCTGTCTGGGCCTCCACGGGGAGGGGGGGCACACCCCACTGGAGATGGGATTATATGAATTCTTTGAGGAAGAACCGTAATCCCGTATATGTTGGGCAAACGAGCAAGAACTGCTGATGGCCGAAGATCTACTGTTCCTCATGCTTGGCACACACAGGAGAAACACATCCTGGTGATTAATGTCCAGCTGGTGGTGTCGTGCCATGGTTATTCTCATTGCGTAATCTGTAGAAGATGTGATTGGAAGCTGGAAAAAAATCCCGTCAACCACTGCAGTGCACTGTTATGGTATCTCTGCCATAGGCCCTTACGGCATAGGCTCTGTGTTGGCGACTCTATCTCCCTAAGAGCCCTCTAGTGATGCAGACTCAGTACCAGCCCACACACAACCCACGGCCTGGCCAGCCCTTTCCTGAGGACTCCCCACAGTTTTTGTGTGGTTTTGGGAAATAGGGTCTTGTGTAGCGCAGGTTGGCCTTCAACTCAAGATGTAGTTGAGGATGACAGTGAACTTCTGGTCCTCTTGCCGCCACCTCCTGAGTGTTGGGGTCACTGGCTGACTCCCCGGTGTCCAGTATGATGTTGGGAGATCTGTGCATGCTAGGCAAGCACTCTACCAAGTGAACCTCCTCTCCAGCACCTACCAAGGGTTTTGGTTAAACTAGGAGCATGGGCCGCAGACATGGCTCGGCTATTAAAGGCTAGGCTCACAGCCAACAAGAAAGCCTGGGAAGGAGGCTGCAGATTAGCCTGGGGTGGTCAGGGTTTTCTTTAAAAGATAAACAAAGGAAAACAATAAAACAGAACAAAGGAATCTAATTTGGTTCTTGCCCTTGAAATTTGGATTTCAGAAAGATGGAGCAAATGGAGGGTGATGGAAACAGGCTGAGACAGAGGAGAGTTAGTCGTCGGGAACAAGGCAGATCACAGTGACAAGTCTCCAGGCAGAGAAAGAAACCTAATGGAGGAATCGGCTGAGGATGCATTGCAAGGCCAGGAGGGTGGCTCAGCCAGTGAAAGCCACTTGTCACCAAGCCTAACTGCCTGGGTCAGATCACCAGGACCCACGAGATGAGAGAACCGACCTCTGCAAGTTGTCTCCTGACCTCTGTGTTCATGCTGTAACATTTGTAGCATTCACGCATGCGCATGTACAGACACACACACACACAATGTAACAACAAAAACCCCACAGTGCAGAGGCTTCCAATCAGGTCGACCACAAACCTTTAGAATATTGATTGCTGGAGCTGCCGAGGCTCCACTTTGCCTCTCTGCAAAAATCACTGGTACTATGGTTTCTGTCTTTAGAATCCCCAGAACTTTCGCTTACATCGTATGACACTTTATAAGGGTGTTTCTCATCTTGTAGTAGCGTTATATCCTGAAAACCCACCATTAGTTGAAATCAGGGCAATGCGAGAAAACAACCAATGCACCAAAACCCAACCCTTCCACCCCAGCTACCCCTTCACCCCAGCTACCCCTTCACCCCCCCCACCCCCTCACCCCCCCCCCCCCCTCCCCCCCCGCTCCCCCCTCCACCCCAGCTACCCCTTCCACCCCAGCTACCCCTTCCACCCCAGCCTAGCATCTCAGCACACTATGACGTGTCAGTGATTGCCCTCATGGAACAGCTGACTGAAAGCTTCGGCATCAGAAGAAAATCCCACACTGCATCTGTCTATGTTAAGATCAAACTTCAAAACTGGAATTACACCTCTCCCTGAACACGTAACACTTTCACAGCATCACAAAGTAGAAAAGTCATCATTGTGAGTCGAGGCTATCTATACAAAATGCTTCCCTAGTTACTCTAACCTGTGTGGAATTTTCTGCTTTTTGCAAAGGAAGTATCTAGCAAAGTTCTCTCTCTCTCTCTCTCTCTCTCTCTCTCTCTCTCTCTCTCTGAGATAAAGTCTTAACTATGTCTTGCAGCCTAGGTGGTCCTCAAAGTTGCAATCCTGCTTTCTCCTATGCCTCCCAAGTGTAGGGATTTCCAGACTCGGCTCAAAAGTTATCCTATTTGGCTGATCTGTTTACAGGAAATTTGACTTAAACCTACAACTTTTGGTGAGGAGAATAAAAACTTAAACATGAAGGGAGCAGAAGCTTCCCATAAACACATCAACAGTCCTGAGGCCAGGGCACAAGCGGAAACTCCCACGCCGTGGGTCTGAGTTGGCAAGTTATAAAATAAGACACACTGATCTTCCTACTTTGGCAAGGTAAATATAAATACTAACAATTTACACTCATTGTGAGCTGGAAAGCCAAATTACTTTTTTTTGAGTATTTGGAGGTTTTCCTCAAGTCGTCAATCCTGCATTTTAAGAAAACTGTGCTGACACACACCTGTAATCCTAGCACTTGGGAGATTGAGGCTGGAGAATCGCAAGTTCCAAAGCTAGCTTGGACTCCAGCCCGAGACCCAGTCCCAGACACACTGAAACATACAAACACTTAGGTCAAGCTGAAATGTATTTAAAGGTTATGAAGAACCGACAGACTTCCTTTTCTATCGGTTTTTAATTTGCATGAAATCCCTCAAGGAAGACAGCTGTGCTGTTCAGAGCTGTGTGTCCCTACTGTGCCTGACACATGGTAGCCGTTCAGATCTGTTTCCTGAATGAGTGCGTTTTTCCCAAGGAAACTTTCTAGATCCTGTTTTCCACTCGCTGATGAAAAGTGAAGTGG